TCTTTTCCAACCTTAATGATTGTGGGATTTGTACCTCCAGGATTATGGGAAAGGCACTCCGAAGAAATGCTGCTCCCCAGGGGACTGGGGCTGGTGTTGCTTCCCAAGTAGAAACATGAGCTTGTGTGGGAAGTGTCCTGCTGTCCTCCAAATTCCTGGAGATACCAGGATGGAAAGAAAGATCCATTTTGGCACGGTTCCCTGGGCCAAAGAAGACTCTGTCAGGGCTGGAGATGCCAAGCAAGCCTTGCTTATCTCCATGAAGGAAAACACTCCTAGTTTTATGAGAACAATGTTGAACAGGCAAGAGAGTCACCACCTTGAGAGAGAAGCTTTCAAAGCAGCGTGGGATAAATTTCTTTCCAAAAGCGTCAACAATTTCAAAGCAGAGCAGCATCTCCCAGCTGGGGTATTCCATCTAAAATGCAATATTTTATACACTAATATTTAAAAACTAATGAGCTGAAGTTATGCCCCCTTTGGCTTCATGCCACAAGGGCTAAAAATCTTTGTTCAGTTTTTATCTGAAAGTTATTATTGATGTTGAAATGTTCGGAGTGCTGGTCACAATTTCTGAAGCAAAATCACTGGGCGAATTTACAAAGACCGAACTTACTCAGTTAAGTACGAAACATCAATAAAAATATTTCATTTTTCCCTCCTTGTAAGAGTACTGACATGGCTTTTAGGCATCTTTATACTTGAAAACTATGTATTCCATGCCCTGCTCCCATTACATTGGTGGTGCAACCACAGCTGGCAGTGCTGGAGGAATGTCACCTCTTGAGATCCCGTGCAACCCAAATTTATTCTGTGATCCTATGACTGCTGTTCCTAAAACCAAGCTACAAAAATGTACCAGTGCCAAATTTCCATGTCGCAACTGAAGAGGAAAGTTCTTCTGGATTGGGCTTGTGAGGCAAGGTTCTGGTAGCTGGGAACTACAGGGACAGCTTCCCTGAGGAACTGCTGGAAGCTCTGACAGAGCCAACGACAGTGGATCCAGGAGGACCCACCGAGCCCAGCAGTGGGCTGGGATAAGAAATTTAGGAAGGAAAAAAAAGTTATTGCACAGATGTAACTGGGTCCAGAGAAGAGAGGATTGAGAACACATAAGAGGAAGAGCCCTGCACACCCCCAGGGCAGTGGGGTAGGAGGGGCAGGAGGTGCTGCAGGAGCCAGAGCTGAGGATCTCCTGCAGCCCTTGGGGGGGCAGCTGTGCCCCTGCAGCCCATGGGGGTCTGTGATGGATCAGAGACCCCCTGGAGGAGCCCACACTGGAGCAGGGGGATGCCTGAAAAGAAGGGTGTGACTGTGGGAAGCCCATGCTGGAGCAGGTCCTGGCAGGACATGTGGACAGAGGCGCCCACGCTGCAGCAGGTTTGCTGGCAGGACTTGTGACCCCACAGGGGCACCCACACTGGAGCAGCCTGTTTCTGAGGGATTGACCCCATGGAAGGGACCCACACTGGAGCAGTTCCTGAAGGACTGATACCATAGAAGGGACTCACACTGAGGCAGCCTCTTCCTGAAGGACTGACCCCATGGAAAGGACCCACACTGGAGCAGTTCCTGAAGGACTGATCCCATAGAAGGGACCCACACTGGAGCAGTTCCTGAGGGACTGATTCCAGGGAAGGGACTCACACTGGAGCAGCCTGTTCCTGAGGGACTGATTCCATAGAAGGGACCCACACTGGAGCAGTTCCTGAAGGACTGATACCATAGAAGGGACTCACACTGGAGCAGTTCCTGAGGGACTGATTCCAGGGAAGGGACCCACACTGGAGCAGCCTGTTCCTGAGGGACTGATTCCATAGAAGGGACCCACACTGGAGCAGTTCCTGAAGGACTGATACCATAGAAGGGACTCACACTGAGGCAACCTGTTCCTGAGGGACTGATTCCATGGAAGGGACCCACACTGGGGCAGCCTGTTCCTGAAGGACTGATCCCACAGAAGGGACCCACACTGGAGCAGTTCCTGAGGGACTGATTCCATGGAAGGGACCCACACTGGAGCAGCCTGTTCCTGAGGGACCAACCCCATGGAAGGGACCCACACTGGAGCAGCCTGTTCCTGAGGGACCAACCCCATGGAAGGGACCCACACAGGAGGGTGGGAGTGATTTTTCCCCATCCTTATCTCAACTCCTGAACCTTTCATTGTATTTTTCCTGACAACAATAACAACAAAAACCCTACACACACTCATAAAGTCTTTTCCCTTTGAATGCCTTTCAAATTTTAAAGAAACAAGCAAATCCAGCAAAAGCTGTACAGAATACAAAAGCTCACTTGGAGTATATTTGACTCTAATAGCTGGTTTCAAACAGCCCAGTGTTGGATGGAAAGGGATCAGGTTGGATATGCTGCTAGCTAAAATATGTTAATGTGATTTAAATTACATTGTACCTGCCTGGGGAATTAATTTTGTGATTTTAAGGGAAACTGAAACAAGTCATTCAATCAGATCCCCCGTTTTCTGTAGGCACTAATGGGATTGTTCAGAGCAAGCAAAGCTGGATGACAAGCAGCGGGTGAACAAAGCTTGGGAAGCAGGAGTTTTGCAATTGTAGGATTTTTTCCAATTTTTCTTTTTAAAGAGACACTGTTGCTTCCTGATAAAAACCAGTTAAAAATCAAAGTTCCTCCCTGAAATCACAGTGACTTGTTGAAACCAGCATCCCTGTCCTCAGAACACTTGGCAGGGTACCAGCCAGCAAGGAGCTGTCAGACAGCAGGGAGCACGTCCAAAAGAGCTGCAAATCAAGGAAATTGTGCAAAGACACAAGGAAGCCTGGTAAATTAGTCAAACCCACTGTTTCCTGGCATTGGAAAGCCATGGAGATTTAATGGCTTGGTTGAGCTACCCTGTTTAATCCATTTGTGTGTAAAATAAAAGCCAAGAAGCTCATCCAGCCCCGTTTGGGATTCTGGCAAGCCCAGCTCTTCCCCCTTTGGTTCCACCACAAGCTTTGGGGGCACAAGCAGGCAAATAAGTCATGTTGCTGGACTACTTTAAGAAGAAAGGTGCCTCATCACTGACAGAAAGTACCACAACAAAACAAAACAGACCCCAAAGCGCAGCAACAAAGAACATGCCCAAACTAGAAAGTGTGACCACATTTCACCCAGAGAACAACAAACACCACACCAGGCAGGTACAAAACTCCAGGTAGAAACATCTGGCACAGAATCCCAGAATCACTGAGTTTGGAAAATTGCTCCAAGACCATGGAGTCCCCCCCTGTGCCCCATGCCCACCTTGTCCCCCAGCCCAGAGCACTGAGTGCCACGGCCAGGCCTTCCTGGGACACCTCCAGGGATGGGCACTCCAAACCTCCCTGGGCAGCCCCTGCCAATGGGATTGAGGGAGGAAAGAGATAATGAATTAGCAAGGGAATGGATTTTTTAAGTGGATGATGCTGTTAGAGTAAGTATTCAACCCTGGCATAGTTCAGAGACAACATTAATGGAACCCTCCACAGCTTATTTTTGGTGGGTTTTACAAAGCTGAGCTTCAAAGTCACTTCTCACCCCATACACAACTATTTTCTGTAACCATGCCACCATGATTGACTGGATTTCTGTTAAGAAAACAGCTGTTATCTCCTGATTAATTTTAACATTCAGATGTCCAGTTAATCCCAGGGCAAAGCAAACGAATCCACAGATGAAAGGAAGAGGAAGTATCTTTTCAGTTGCCTTCTTTATACCCCAGAGAGTATTTAAGGAGTGTAACACAGCCTGAAACAACATGAAGATCTTTTATTTACATCTTCAGATTTCACAGCTGGAAGTCTGAGACCAAAACAACTGAATTCACAGCTCTCAGAAATGGAGAGTAATTCACAACTAACAGATTTCCAGAGATAAGTATAACCAGATTTTTAATGGAAAAGGTGCAGGCTCTCCTATAATTACTCCATATTGCCACAAAATTGTAGAAAGGCTCTAAACTTTTCCAATATTTGCTTGGAGAAAAAAAAATTCTGAGTAAATTCCCGCTCAGGGAAGGCAAACCTTGTGAGCTGAAGAAGCTAAAATAGGGAAAAAAGGACAGGACAGAAAAAAATATAAGGTCTTTAACAGCACAGAGAAGAAATATTTAGAGGATGAACATATCTGAATACACAAAACCTCAAATGTGCTGGCTCTTGTTGAAGAATAACACAAAGAAGCAGCAAAATCACAGACCACAGAATGTGCTGAGTTGGAAGGGACCCACAAGGATTACCCAGTCCAACTCCTAGCCCTGCACAGGATCATCCCCAACAGTCACCCCTGGTGCCCCAGAGGATCATCCAAACCCTCCTGGAGCTCTGGCAGCCTTGGGGCTGTGCCCACTGCCCTGGGGAGCCTGGGCAGTGCCAACCACCCTCTGGGGGAAGAACCTTTCCCTGAGATCCAACCTGAGCCTGCCCTGACACAGCTCCAGCCATTCCCTGGGTGCTGTCCCTGGTCCCCCCAGAGCAGAGCTCAGTCCCTGCCCCTCCTCTGTCTCTCCCCAGGAAGTTGGAATTGCAGTGAGGTCTCCCCTCAGTCTCCTCTTCTCCAGGTGAACACACCAAGTGCCCTCAGTGTCCTCACACAGCTTCCCTGCTAGACCCCATCTTCAGGAATCTTCAGGAAAAGAAGTAGAACTATGGAATTTTACTTCCTCTTGAGCAGCAGGGATCTGTTAGCTGAGAAAAACTGCCCCTTGACGACAGAACAACCTCCAGATGGCCAGTGATGCACCGGCAACACCCTCCAGTGCCCTTCCCCATCTTCGTCTCCCTCCTTTGGATGCTCCCAAAATCCCTTTGTTTCACGACCAAAGGCCGTTACTCAGTGACACACAGGCTTTACCCACACAAACCTTTCGGAGATCGAGGAAAATCACTGCAGATTACACATGTATTTGGTCAAGACCCATCTCACAGGCACTCCAATCATCCCACCCCCCAGTGCCCAGCGGCACAGCCCGCTCTCCTCAGCTTTCCCAGGACACTCACCCCGTCGGGTCTGCCGTCCGAGGCCGTGACAATCAGGATGTAGCGGTCGGTGCTTTCCCTGTCCAAGGGTTTTCCCAGGGCCAGAAGCCCAGAACTGTAATAAAACAAACCCACAACACGTCACCACAGCAGCTGATAGAGATCCACAGGTGCTTTTGCTCCACCACTTTGTGCCACACCAAGGTTTCCCCCTTCAGGTTTTATGTAGGTAAAGGCTGATAAAAATCCATGAGCCAGTTGTTAATGTTTTCAACTGGGACAATTTAGGATTAAAATAACAACCTAGTTTTTAATTTATTTAACATTTATTTATATATTAATTTAATTTAACAACCTAGTGATCTACAGGTGACTACAAAAAGAGCTGCACTGAACACAGGACCCCTATTTGTTACTGCTGCACTTTATTAGTCTATTTATTTATTAAATATATATTTATTTAATGATTACTATTACTGCTGCAATACATGAGAAGAGAGAATAACGAGCAGGCTATTAATCACTGAGGAGTTCTGACATCCAGCAGGATTGAGCAGTAAACTGTGGGAATAGAACACACACAGACTTAAGTATCAGCTTACTCAGGGTTTTATAGGGAAAGGCTACAAACTTACACATTGTGTAACTTCAGAGTAAGTCCTGCAACGAGCTAATGCTCTTTGCACAGAGATACCAAAGTCCCCAGTATAAAATATTCCCATAGGAACAAATGTTGAGGAAAATGACTCATAGAACCATGGAAGGACCTTAAAGCCCATCTCGTTCCAGCCCCTGCCATGGGCAGGGACACCTTCCACTAGCCCAGATTGCTCCAAGCCTGTCCAACTTGGCCTTGGACACTTCCAAGGAATCAGGATATTGTGATTATTGACACCCATTTTAAAAGGACACTAAAAAAAAGGTTATTTGGAAGCCACATACAGTGCTGTTTTTTCTCTCTGATTTTCTCCTATAGAGGTCTGGAAGCACCAAGAGAGGCAAGATCCCACCATGGACTCATTACTGGTATATTAGGAAGGATAGGGAAGGTATTGTCTGGACAACCCTGTTTGAGCAAGCTAAACTCTGCTTAACTGAGCTGGCACCAGAGGTATGGCCCTGACCACCCCCAAAGCTCCACATTTCATTTACAGGATTTTTGTGTCTACTGGAACCCGGGCGAGCGTGTAACAAACTGACTCCTCTCTCAAATCCATGGGCTATTTAACTCCTGTGCCCCAAAAAGCATGGATCCAGGACGATAGTTAAACACAGATCCAGGATGACTTATCCTCTGTTCCACGGCTAAGCAGCTCCTCCCATGGGACTCCACCAAACATGTCATGTTGAGCTTAAAATATCTGAAGAAAAGCATAAGAGCACGTGAGTTCGCGGCACAAAATCCACACCAGCTGGAACCTGGGGATGCTGCGACTTTCCACGTGTTAGGCCATTTTCAGTGGCTCTCTCAGACACAAGCATTGGTGAGGCACAGCAAGAAACTGCATTTGTTGTACCCACATCTGATGGTCATGACCCGGAACCTCCACAGCTGCTCGTACAGAAAGAGGTTTTATTAAAAAATGTTAAAACCAAAGCAAAGTTCAAAGTCCCCCCGAACCAGGAGGTCTCATTAGATGAACTTCTCCAGGATGTTTGGATGTGTAACATCTGTATCTAATGATGGTTTTTCCCTAGACTATAAATTCCTGCAGAGTTTCTGCTCTGATTTCTTATTCTCAGAGAAGATTCACTAAACTGGTTCCAGGCCAAGACTTCTTCCAACAGAGACAAATAGCACCACTTACTGCTGAGCTATTTCTTCCAAAAAATATAACAGAAATTGGTGGAAAACGTGAGTGGAAGGATAATTCTCCCCTAGAACTGAAAGGTTGGGAGGTAAAATAATATCCAAGCTCAGAAATCAAAGAAAATAATATTCCAGGAGATGCTCCATTCAATTTGTCTCATGGTTAAATGATAAAAACATGGGCTCATGTCCTGGTTGGCTTCACCCAAAAAGGAAAAGCTTCACTGGACCTAAAATACTTCCCTGGAGGTTGGTAAAATCCAGAGGGGAGGTGGATATTGTGCATGGGTTTGTAACCCAGTAAAAAAGGAGCTGACAGGCCTCGGATCCTGCAGGGAGGAGAATGGAACCAGCATCCTCCTCCTTCCAGGGCAGGATTTCAGGTGCTGAGGATTCAGCAGAGATCCCTCAGATCCCAGAGATCCCTTCATCAGGGAAAGTGACTCCCCAGAGGGAAAGTGTAACACCCAAGCAAGGGACACACCTGAGAAAGTTTATGTGTGTATATATATAAATATATAAAATATATAAATCTGTAAATATATACAAATGTGTAAACTTATATATTGTATATATCATATTATATAATATATTAAAATATAGTACTAAATAAAATGTTAAATATTTTCCTAAATACATTCAAAATATACATAATATAAAAAATATAATATACAGAATATATAAATTTTTAAATATTTATATATCATTTGTATATATTGTATATATTTATTTAACATTACATATATATAGTAATATATGTATATATAATAAATATTGTATATATATAACATATATAATATAGATACACACTACATAATATATATTTTATATATATATACTATATATAATATATTTTATGTGTGTATATATATATATAAACTCTCTCAGGCCTGTCCATTGTGTGTATATACATATATATATATATATACACAGATATACATATATTTATAAAAAGCCATATATATTTTATATATGTGGCTTTTTAAATAAAATATATAAGTATTTTATAATATATAATATATAAAAGTAATGTATCAATATATCAACTATATACATTATGATAAAATGTATAATATATATTAATATATACACAATATATAATATAAAATATATAAATTGATAAAATATATTTTTATATAAAGTCATATATATTAATAAAAATATACAGCTATACTTATTATAAATAAATATATAGCTCTATATTATTAAAATACATGTACATGTATACATCTATGAATATGCATTTAAAAATTACATATACACATAAAGTACATGAGACATATTTTATATCTACCAATATACACGTACTAAAACATTCTTATATTTGTACTTTTAGCTTCTTGCATTAGTGTCATAATTAGACTAATAATAATTTGATTAGACTATTAAGACTTTAATTAGACCAAGGGTAAATTCCTAGCTTTGCATACAGACAGCCCATGAGAAGGCAAATCAATTAGTTATCATAATAGACTGAATATATACTTTTCAGCATTTGTTCAAGACACTGCAATAAAATACAAACAATTTCTTTTTATGGGGAAGGAACAGTAAATAAAACATAAACCATTTAAGTGGTAAATTATTAGTTTTAAAAAAATACCAAAATGGAGCTAAGAGTAAAATATTGACACCAAATCCTGCTTTATTAACACTGACCTCAAGCTGCATAAATCACATTTCCCCAATATTTCTGCACTATCATATCACTGTTTTTATCTTCTCCTTCCTACTGCTTGAAAAATTACACTCTCTTGTCTCTCTGTTCCCACAGATGAACATCATCCAAAAGCCAGGCTAAATTTGAAATATCCTGTGTTTTCCTCCAGGGTTCAGACGTACCCACGTTCCTCTACCACCCCAGCTTTCAACCCTTGCTTTCCCTGAGGAACCTGAGGAGGTAGGGAATTACTCAAGTTGGAATGGTAAAGAAGGAGGAACAAAACCACCTCACGACCTTCAGACTGAGGAGAAAAAAGATGTAGTAGTAGATGTAATACTGGTAGTACTCAGCACTCCTGGTGGAATTACACAGGAGTTCCACTGCCACGCTCCAGGATGCAACAAAATCATCCAGAGGAGAAAAAGGCAGAGAAAGAATCATGTTCATGGTCTCTGCCTTGGCCTTAAAGTATCTAAAATTGAGGTGAATTCCTGTAGCTTTAATATGCCACTCACATTAACTCTGTGCTTTAATATTAATCCTCCTTTCATCTCCTCTCAAGACATTCCAGCAGCCAGGAAACAAAAAAACGCAAAAAAGGCTGTAGGAAACTTTGCACAGGCCATTTCTGAGAGAACAGAAAGGGGAAAACTCTTTAAAGAGTTCCCCTTTTTTATCAGGAGGCACCAGTTCAGGGCCCCAAACCTCACGGTGTGGTGCTCAGACACATGTGGGGGCTGTGAGAGTGGGGGTGTCAGCCTGCCCAGGAAGGGTCCTGGAGCATGGGGATGCAGGGATGGAGGAGGACTTCCAGTTGGGAATTTATTCACATGCCACATTTAGGAGCTTGGTTTCTGGGTATGTCCACGCTACCCCCATCCAAAGTCAGACAACACAGGAGCTGCCAAGGATCCTGCTTCCAGAGTACCTTCATGCCAGAAGCTGTCCTGAATTCCCACACGTTTTTTCTCTGGTATGGAGAACTACCAGGAATTTTATGGTGTGACCTGAACAGCACAAACTACATGAAAGAACTACCCACTGAGAAACCCCTTTGGAACATCCCTCCTGCAGCCAGGTCACACAATTCACCTTCTAAATCAACAAATGCTGCTTTCCAAACAGTGTGACCCCCCACTGGAGCAGCTCTCATGGACCAGGTTAGATTATTCACCTTCTGAAAGTCACAGAGGAGGTCAGACTGATTTTTCTGTGTTAAGGAGAGGGTTGTCAGCATCCCTTGTGCAGGAATCCCTACAAATCCACACTGTGCTGGAGCTACAACCCCCAGCAATCCATCTGAGCCGATGACCACAGCACACCTTCCCTGATCTGCACCAAAACCTCCAGTGCTGAGCCATGGATAACACCAGCAGCCCAACCTGGCCACCTCAGTGAAGGAAAGTCTCCCCTCTCCAAAGTGTCCCTTCCCTCACCTGACAAGTCTTTATCATTAGAGGGCCCATCCATCACTCTTGGTGGAGGAGAGCACCACCTCCTGGGATCTTCAAGGGGTTTTTACATTCTTTCCTAAATGATTTGGCTCTCCATGAATGGGAGACTTATCACCTGGAGCTTTCCTAGAACATACAAACCTGTTTCAGCAGGTTTGTGTATTTAGGTTCACAAAGTCTCCCTCAACCCAAATTAGAACAATTTTTTGCAATTATACACCGTGAACAAATTAGCCCCAGGTTACTTCTGTCCCATCATTACCACAGGAAGTAAACTCACCACCTTCCCTTCCTTCTCCAAAGGAAAAAGATACTTTGGAGTGTAAATAATAGCTACCAGTAGGTAAATAATATCTAATAATAGGTAAACAATAGCTAATAATAGATAAAATAAAGAAAGGGGTGGTGGGACAGGTACAGACAGATCTGGTGCTCATAATTTTATTATATACCCTCTGTTTCTCACTCTATTTAAGATGGTATTCAATCTGAAGAAAAGATGCTTTAAAACAATGCTCAAAAGGCATTTGTAATACAGGCTAAGCTGCAAGAAGGCAGGAAAATAAAGCAAAAATTGTCCCTGTCATTAGTCAAGAGCTGACAGGTATAAGGTTCTTAATTAATCCCTGGTCACTCTTTTAAATAGAATGTTTCCACTTCAGTGAGTTTTACCTACTTACAGTGTTCAAAATAAATAAATAGTCCCCTGTGAAAAACTTCAGAGTGCAATAAGGCTCACAGAGCTCTCATTTATGTGTAAGGAGCAGCTGAGGATGTGTAATTACAAACCTTTTCTTTTACTCTCAGCCCACACATTCACTTGACTGAAAAGTTTTCCAAGGGTTTTCCACTTACCTTTGAGAGAGATTAAAAACTTGTTGAGGATCTCCATTCTGAATGAGGTATCTTATGGGGTCACCCTCCCTATCAAAAGCCTTTAGGGGAAAAAAAAGGAGAAAATTAAGTCAGTGACAGAGCTTTCTTTACTGTCCTTCCATGCATAAAGAGGAGAATTAACCCCTGAGGTTCCAAGAATGTCTGCAGGGATGACACTGATCTCTGTTCCTAAGGTAACTCTGGTTATTGCAGATGGGCTACTTAAGATAAAGCTGTAGCACATCAGAACTCTCATGCTACAGAGGAATGACAATATCCTGAATATGGGATTAATAATTAGTAATTATCAAATTATCAAATTAATGCCACACATACACACACAGTAGCACAAGGATGAAATTCAGGCTTATTCAATTAGGTTTATTTTATGCAGCTCCAGACTGATTAGACTGAACTTCTTGTTTCCTTTCTTCCTATTCTTCATTTCTATATCTTATCCAGATCCCTCTTTCCACTGGTTTACCAGAATCCCAATCTTTGGCTGATGCTCCACCCAGCAGCGTAGACATTGTAGCACTCACTCTCCAGGATAATTTGCTTTTTGGGGGATGAAGATTCAGATAAGACCTTTAAGAATGACTATTAGCAGCACCAAAACAATTATATGGCACCTACTGGGTACCAAAAAAACCTTTTGAGACGCTGAGTAAACTACTTTTGTTGTTAAGCTTTGGCTAATCTGCTCCCAAACCCAGCCATAAATCTGCCATGGAACATTTACTGTTTTGTCAAGTATACACAAACCTTTTCACAGGAAAGACTATTGTGAGCTTTTTAGAGAAATTACTCTCTACTAAACGGTCTCCTGGACTGTGTCACAGCTACAACCAGTTAGAACTCAAAGCCCAAAGTGATTAAGCACATTTTTGGAGGAAAAACAAAAAGGAGAATTGCAAGAAGGCCAGTGAACGGGTCCAAGAAGGGCAGACAGGCTTTACCAGGAGACAGGGTGACACAGAAAAGAAGGTAAGAAGAGAGTATTTTTGTATCTCTCATCTTTCAACAACCATCCTTTTTAATATCTATTTTTATAAGCCTTTCACAGAATCGTTCAGGTTGGAAAAGCCCTCCAAGGTCACCGAGTCCCCCCTGTGCCCGATGCCCACCTTGTCCCCCAGCCCAGAGCACTGAGTGCCACAGCCAGGCCTTCCTGGGACACCTCCAGGGATGGGCACTCCAAACCTCCCTGGGCAGCCCCTGCCAAGGCCTGACCACCCTTTCCAGGGAGAAATTCCTCCTCCTGGCCAACCTGAGCCTCCCCTGGCACAGCTGGAGGCCGTTCCCTCTCCTCCTGTCCCTTGTTCCCTGGGAGCAGAGCCCGACCCCCCCCCGGCTCCCCCCTCCTGTCGGGTCAGATAAAAACCCAAGAAAAATAAGGAAAAAACCCCAACTCAAACCCACCCCAACATTAAGACCAGAAGCACCAAGTAGTTTAGAGTGCAGGCAGAGCAGGGAATTCAGTAAGAAAACAACTTGCCTGAGCCAAAGGAAGCATAAAGAAAATAGTGGCTAAGTCAGACAAAGGTGACCAGCACAAAGGAAGAGCAAGAACAATCAGAGCAGCACAGAGTCAGAAAAAGTTAAGGTAAAACTAATAGAAACAGGAAAGAAGGCAAGGGATAGCAAAGGAATGTTCAAACTGCAGAGGAAACCTGAGGAATGTGGTACCTTCCAAGCAGAAGGGATGATGCTGAGAAGGTCAAAGAGCTGACACTGCTGGAATTAACTGGGACAACAAAAGGGTAAAATCTCAGCTGAGAACTGGGAAAGAATAGGCAGAGAAGCTGTACATAAATTGAGCATCTTTAAATCATCTGCTGAAATTAAAGCCTGATGAAGTTCATGGTAGTGTCTAAAACCCAGGCTGAAGCAATCTCAAAGCCATCAGTGGTTTTCTTTGAAAACTCACAGAGGAAAGATGTGCTGAAGGGTAAACACAAGGTATATCCTTCATGGGGGGATGAGCCAGGAAATCACAGGTGGAGCTCAATTCCCAGAAAACCACAAATAACCAAGTCATCTGTAAGTGACCTGGATGACAATATGGACATGGGCAACACAAAGCTAACTCTGCCAAGAACAAAAGGATGGTGAAGGAACATGATCTTTTACAACAGGGCTAAAGAAAAGGGCAGAAGCTGTGGGGGCAATAATGCATCTGAGCCATGGAGAGGCTTTTCATGCTGCTTTCTGTGACACCTTCCCTAACCAGTTCAGACAACGCGGTCTCCAAATGGAAAGTGGGATTAAGCAAGAATAAAACCACTTATAAAAAATGAAGGTCAGGCAGCAGTGGGTGGCATTTAGTATTGACTCAGTTCTGCACAGGTGTAAATAGTTCTTCCAGGATTGATCAATAGTTTCCTCCACAACAGCAGTGACAGAGCAGGAAATTTGTTCGTAAAATCCACTGAGTGACGGGAGGTGGCACCACCTTAGTGGCTGTGAGGGGGATTTGGATCTCCTCATCCTGAAGATATGAACAGTCAGGATCTGACTCAGGAAAGACAAGCAAAAAATTGTCAGCCAAGAATACAAAATGCTACAATTACTGGAGGCAGCAAATGTGAGTAGCTGGCCTCTCTGAGGACTATCCCAGATCCTAAATCTTTAGTGGCCCTTTGTATTCCTTCTACCTGTAGGGCATCCTGCCCTCCCTTCACATTCCAGGGTCTCAGAGTTATGACTGGGGCCTACATTCTCAACAAGAAGTCAGGAGACTCTCAAAAAGACAGAAAATAAAGGACTGGCTCTAGTTTATTTCAATTTCTCCTTGTCTCCAAGGAAAATCCACCTTCCATTCAACACACATTAAAAATCAGGGAGAAAATGATAAATTCGTTGTTTTGAAAAGCTCCTGTTTTCTTTAAAACCAAAGGACAGCAGGTTATTATGAAATAAGAAAACCACTGAAGGCTTGCAAGTGAGGAGAGCAATCCATACCCACTGTTTTCCAGATCAATGGAATACACTGACTCCATAAATTGTACACAACGATTCCATGTTGCCTCCTTGTTCAGCACAGAACTGGACCGTGGTAACAGCCCTATTTGTTTTGCAGACTCCCAGAAAAATGACACCATTTGCATATTTTAATTAATAATGGCTGGCAGAACATGAAGCCATAAATGCCTCCCAGGCATGCAATAAACTCTGAGGTTTATTTACAAATTAATACTGTGGAGACCATTTAATATTGCATTAATCTCAAATTTCGTTAATTAAAACACCACTCACAATCAACTGGGTGCATTATAAAATAAATAACAGCATAAGAAAGAAATTCAACCTTCCATCCTCAGCATGGAATATTTTAATGGACAGGGAGAAAGTGAATTTTATTTTTAGAACAGGTATTTTAGAGTCTAAAAGGAAAATCTGAAGCAGCTGCATTTGCATTGTTATTGACCCTGATGCTTTGCAGATCTTCAGCTTTGCCAGCTTGGGAATATTTAAAATATTTTGCTCACTCTTCCCCAGATTTTGTAAACCTGAAGGCAACACTAACAAAGTATTATTAAGAGAGAGTCATAAAATAATAATCTCTTAATCTGCACCAATCTAAACAATTTATTGATAAGAATCATGAAAGGAAACATCAGTGTGAAAATGTACACATGAACACATTTGTTCAATATTTGAGATCTTAGTGATGTTCCATGTGAAGAGGGAACACAGGTAATACCTGAAGCTATTGCTAGAATTGCACAAAAAACCCACACCAAGGTGACTAATTGGTAACTTTCTGTTGCCTGGAAAGGACAGCACAAGATTTCTCAAGCTTAAATACTCAGTTTAGGAATGTTTAAAATGTCCTGGCCAGTTTTACACAGCAGGGAATGAAGAAAGATGAAGACAGAAATGCAATTCCCACAAGTGCTTTAACACAGGGGAGTGTTTTCATGCAGAACGAGGCACTTGAATTTAAAATCACTGAATGGTTTGGGTTGGAAGGGACCTTAAAGCTCGTCTGGTTCCACCCCCTGCCATGGGCAGGGACACCTCCTACTAGCCCAGGTTGCTCCAAGCCTGGCTAACCTGGCCTTGGACACTTCCAGGGATCCAGGGGCAGCCACAGCTTTTGTGGGCAACCTGTGCCAGGGCCTCTCCACCCTCACAGGGAACAATTCCTTCCCAACACCCCATCTATCCCTGCCCCCTGGCAGTGGGAAGCCATTCCCCGTTGTTGTATCACTACCCACCCTTGGAAAAAGTCCGTCTGCATCTCTCTAGTATGATGCACCCACATTCCAGCTCCAGGACCACCAGCCCTACAAAAGATCCAGTCCTGGACTAAGCCCCAAAAGCTGAAGCCAAGGATATTTGGGATTTAACAATCCAGTATTTTTCACAAAGAGCAATTGTCTGGCTGAATTCACGCCACGCACAGCAGACTGGTAATACAAGATTAATCCACACTGAGGTAAAAATAAGTAAACCTCAACATCTTCTATGCATTTCCAAAGCTCTTAAAACAAATTGAGGCACTTCACTCTTTCCCAAACACAGTAACCTGTGATTTCTGGGGATCTTGGCATGTGGCAAGAGAACACCCACTGTTATATCCCCAAAATGCTCAGCAACATCCCGTCGAGGAGGACAGGAGCTGGCATGGTCATCCTGCATCCCCCCTGCTCTGCCTGGCACAGGCTGCCTCTCCCAGATTTCCTCAGCATTCCTTACCAAGGATCACGTGAAAAGGAAACAGAATCTAAACCGTAAAATTATGGAATCACAGTTGTTAAGGTTGGAAAAGACCTCACAGACCGAGTGCCCCCTGTGATCAACCCCCACCTTGTCCCCCAGCCCAGAGCACTGAGTGCCACAGCCAGGCCTTCCTTGGGCACCTCCAGGGATGGGGACTCCAAACCTCCCTGGGCAGCCCCTGCCAAGGCCTCACCACCCTTTCCAGCAACAAATTCCTTCTCCTGGCCAACCTGAGCCTCCCCTGGCACAGCTGGAGGCCGTTCCCTCTCCTCCTGTCCCTTGTTCCCTGGCAGCAGAGCCCGACCCCCCCCGGCTCCCCCCTCCTGTCAGGGACTTGCAGAGCCAGAAGGTCCCCCCTGAGCCTCCTTTTCTCCAGGCTGAGCCCCCCCAGCTCCCTCAGCCGCTCCTGCTGCTCCAGCCCCTTCCCCAGCTCTGTTCCCTTCCCTGCACACGCTCCAGCCCCTCCAGGTCTCTCCTGTTGAGGGCCCAGGACTGGGCACAGCCCTGGAGGTCCTCTCATTCTGCCAGCACAGAATGGGCTGTTTGGGATTTAGTGAAACATCAAAGCAAATTATTCCAAGATGGAGCTTCACTTTCCAACCACATTTAAATTGTATAAACCCCTTAAATACTAAAACCTGCCAATAGTTTTTCTGCCTCCAAAGATCCCTCAGGCCCTCAGCCACATATTCCAGCACCTGTCAAGTAAACACAAATGTTTCTGTTTCTCAGCATGCTCCTGGCTCCTGTTCCTTTGTGGGGTTTCCAAAAGCAAGAGTCTCCCCACCAGGGAGGAGAAGGCTCCTGAACAGCATGGCCCTTCCATTCTGCACTCCCTGCAGGCACCACAGATGTGCCAGAAGTTAATTTGCAGCACTGAGCTAAATGAGTCACCCTCCCTCAGCACAGGTGACTAAATCAGCCTAACCATCCATAATAATCCAAATCTTTCATCAGCAAACCATTTAACCAGGAGCTCACCATTCACCTGCATCAGTGACTCAATTAGAGCTCCTTTATTTCACTTTATTTCACTAGTACTGAACGTAGTATTAAGTTCCTGATCCTCCCCAAAATAAGGATGTAAAGAGCTGTCATTTATCTCCCTGTTTTGCACAGCTGATTTGGAGATGTGTGGGCAGAACACAACACAGCAAAGGCTTAGGGAACAGTAAGTAAGTGAGGAGAAAGCTGATTTATTAACCACTAACCCAACAAGGGAAGGTCTGGTTCTGCTGCATGAGGATGGGGATGCAGGAGGGAGCTCCCTGGTCCTGGAACTGGCCTGATCCCACTGCACGGGGGTCATGTATGTGTGTGTGTGCCCTGAGCCCATGAGGAGCCAGCTCACAGACACACAGGAAGGACTTCTGGCAAAAAAAGGTAACTGCAGGATCCTTTTATTTGCCAAAATGCAGAGAGAAGGTGATCCCTCGTTTATACACCGTGTGGGTCAAATTTAATATATAAACAGTGAATTACAAATGGGATGGATAATCAAATTTCTTTGTGCACAACACAATGACAAAATAAAAAAGGAAACCCCCTCCCCACATAACCACTTCAGCAGACAGGCCTGTAAGGATTTGCACTCTATGCTGTGGAGAAGGAAACGGGCACTTCATTGATTCCTAAAATCATCCAGTGACTGTTTTCCTCAGGCCACCCTTGAGCTCCTGGTTCCTCATGTTGTAGACAAGGGGGGGTTCAGTGCTGGAGGCCCCACTGAGCACAGAACTGACAGAGTCAGATTTAGACAGATGTGGATGGAGGGGGAATTCAAGTAGAGAAATGTGCCAGTGCTGATGGAGAAGGAGACCATGGCCAGGTGAGGGGGCACATGGAAAAGGCTTTGTGTCTAGAGGAGCTGGCACACGAGGTCAGCCTGGCCCCAGTGCAGGAGGCCAGCCCCGATCCCGGGTCTGGGAGTGCTGGGATGGCTGCTTTCTGCCAGCTTGTTACAGAACCATGTTACACACACCAAGGGGAAGAAATACCTTCAGGCATTTTTCAGAAATAACAGGCTAAAGAAGGCAAATTGCCAAAAATCTTGCTGAAATTCCACAGGAATTTGGTACAGAAGCTTCTCTGATTTGCTGGCAAAGAGAGATTTGAACATAAGAAATCACAGGCCTTTCAAGATTTCAGCCACTCATGGGGTTTTTTTTCTAATATAATTATCACAAGAATCATAGAATCCCAGCATGGTTTGGGTTGGAAGGGACCTTAAACACCACCTTATTCCAACCTCCTGCCATGGGCAGGGACACCTTGCACTAGCCCAGGTTGCTCCAAGCCCTGACCAACCTGTCCTTGGACACTTCCAGGTATGGGGCAGCCACAGCTTCTCTGGGCAGTGCCTAATGCAGCCTCTAGTACCTTTTTCCACATTGAAACCATGAAAAGAAGTTACAGAAATAGCCACATAGGCCCTTTTTCTATACAGTCTGTGTGAAAGGGGCAACGATTAGAATGAAATCATTTTCAATCCCTATAAACTGCCCTTTTTCCTCCTGTATCCAAGGACTGGCTTCTGCATGGCAAGAGCATAAACAGAATGAAGGTGGTGAAAGCTTCAGCACCTCCGGGGAAGCAGAGGGAAGCACAGGGAAGCATTTGTACCTGGAGGTTTAACAAAACAGCTCCGATCCTCATGGCCTCACTCACTTCCAGGCTGTACATCAGCTGGGGAAAGCGGGGAGGGCTCTGGTTGTTGGGTGGCAGGACCTCGATGTAAACAGTGGTGATGGAGCTCCTGCAACACAAAGGGGGGGGGGGGTAAACCACAGTCCAAGCCAGTGAAAATCAATACATCAACAAGCACGAGGCAACCCACAAAGTCTGGTTTATACACTGTGTGTTCTCCAGCTCTAACGACCTCCCTTTGCTTCTTTAAAAGCTTCAGGATGTGTTTTTTCCCCCCGAATCAAAAGAAAAGCCATTAAAAGAAGAAAAGCTAAATAATTTCCCTCAAAGTAGCCCGAAGTGGTGTTCTTTCAAAAATAAAGCAGCAAGACACCAGTGCACACTCCACACACAAACACAGCTCACAATGCCCTGGTGATCCTGTGTCCTCTATAAGACATTCCAAATTCTGAGCTGGTAACTGCTCCTGCCACACACAACATCTGCCCCTGGAGCTTCCCTGCTGTCAGTCCATTTGCTACCTTTCCTTGGAAGAGAGGGACAGAGAGGATAATGCTGGGAGAAGCCACGGACACAGCTCTCTGGCAGGACACAGCAATAGTGTGGGTCCCACCAAGAAATCCCAGCCCAGTTCAGAGCAGTGGCAATACAGGAAACGACAAATCCCATTGTGGAAACCTGGCAAAGCCTTCAGCTGCCCTGAATATGCTGCAAACAGCATTCCAGGGGGAATGCTGAAGGTTCTGTGGGACACTGACACTGCAGACCCTCCACAGACCACCCTGTGAACCCACCTGCTACTCAACTGCTCCAGTCTGAGAAAAGGAGCCAGAAGTCTCCCTGAAGTTGAAAGTGATTTAAAATCTGGCTTAAAGGAACTTTTCTCTTGCCTCTTTGCTCCATTATCCCACCTGCCTTCTCTCCTGGATGTTGGAACAGCATTCCCACCCCAGGACAAAACCCCCGGGAGAGCGAGTGCTGTGCTGCAGGTGCAGGTTTTCCCTACACAAGCCCTTTGACAAAGTTGGGAAATCTCATGTTTTAGGGCTTCAGGAAAGAAACCAAAGGGGTTTGTCCCAATTTTTTTGAAGGGGAGTGGGGAAAGGTAGAAAAAAGAAAATCATGAACCCAGTGAGCTGCTTCTTGCAGGGCCAGCAAACTCCAGAGCAGGTTTAGAGGGTCCTACCCGAAATTACCAGCTATGTTAGAGTTGAAACAGCTGCTGTGTGATCTGATGGAGCTTATTTAATACCAAAGTTACAAAATTCTGACCAAGCACAGTCCCCACTGTGTTCTGGATGTTCCCCACTGCCCCTTCCCAGCAGGTTCTGTGACTCTGGGTCACTGTGGGAGCTGGGCAGAGCACTGCAACACCGGGACAGATGTGCTGGGGACTGTCCCACAGAACTCTGGCCATGCTCCACCATAACAAACCTCCAGTGTCCCCTGTCCAGAAGGACAAATGCCACCCACAGGGAAGGGCTGCAGGAACTCTGTCCCCTGGGGTACATCCACACACAGAACCCTCAAGGAAGGGATTAAACCCAGCCCGGTGTGTCCCACCTCTCATGGCTCAGCTCCAGCTTGGAGCACATCCAGCCCTGTGAGCACTGAGGAGGAGGAAGGGAGGAGGAGGAGGAGGAGGAGGAGGAAGAGGAGGTGCTCCAGGTGGCAGAGCAGAGACTCTCCCTGGGGAGACCTTGGTAGGAAAGAGAAAGGTGTGGGGAGGATGGAATGAGAAAGGGGTGCTGTGGACTGCCTGTAACCCCTGTGACCCCCATGACACTCAGAGGCAGAGCAGTTTGGGATGAAGGACTGGAGCTGAGCCTGGGAAAAAGGGTGGGAGAGAGTTGTCTTTATTTCTTACCAGCAAACCCCATTGTAACTGGCAATAAGTTCACAGAATCATAGAACCCTACACTGTCTGGGCTGGAAGGGACCTTCATGGAGGTCCCCCCTGCTGTGGGGGTTGGAACTTCCACTAGACCAGTCAAATCAATTCTTGCCGAGTCTGTCTTGCCTGTGACAGTAATTGGTGACCTGCCTGTCCTGATCTCAATCCAAGAGCTTTCCCACCTTATTTTCTCCCCCATCCTGCTGAGGAGGGATAGTGAGATGGCTGAGAAGGTGTCCAGCAGCTGGCCAAGGCCAACCCACCACCTCCACATTAACATTTAGGTACAAGCTGACTCTCAACAAGCCTTTAATGTTCATTGCTCCACCACTCCCCACACCATGGAAGCCCAGCAATCCTCCAGCTGTGCCCAAAAATTCTGGTTGCCAGCTAGTCTGGGGCAATCCCGAGCTTCCCAGAGGCAGCATGGAAGATGGATAATTACAGCAGGAGTTGAACATTCCCTAATTACCTCCTTCCTCCTGTCTTCTTGTCTGTTTTAAACTACCCCCTCACATCTCCCTGATATTTCCTGAATTGATGTTCCACACTTCTATTGATGGAGTAAAGAAAACCACCATCACCAGATGATCAACAGACACCATGAATCAGCAGATAAAACATCTCTTGAGCACTGGCTGCCTGTTTTCTTGGGATAGCTGCTGCCTGTGTATGGAAGACACATCCAAAGAGCTGGGGTTTAGTGTGTTTATCCCCTTTCCACTGCTGAATAGTTCATAAAATATATTGTTCTGTATCGTGTTCTTCCTGATTCTGCTGCAGCTAAATAAGGCTCAGGATGAGTTATTTTCAATCAAGTTCTAAAAGCCAAAAATGGTTTTTGTTCACCACAACAGAAGGGCATTTAGTGCCAGCACAAGGGGGAACGGCTTCTCACTGCCAGAGGGCAGGGTTAGATGGGATACTGGGAAGGAATTGTTCCCTGGGAGGGTGGGGAGGCCCTAGCACAGGTTGCCCAGAGAAGCTGTGGCTGCCCCTGGATCCCTGGAAGTGTCCAAGGCCAGGTTGGATGGGGCTTGGAGCAACCTGGGCTAGTGGGAGGTGTTCCTGCCCACTCACTACCTGTATTAACTTTCCCTCTCACATTCCCCACGTGAGGAAAAGGTTTGCACTTCACAGCTGTGGGAGGTTTAAAAGGTGGAACCTGCTGTTCCTTTCTGTCATCCTCTTTGGAACAGGGAGGTTATCACATTATCAATACCAGACCCAGACCATGAGAGGCATTTTTTTTCACCCCCCACACCTTCCTGAAATGACATCTGGGCACAAATGCCATATTTAGAACACAAACTCCAAAGATCCAGGTCAGCAGGACTCAATACCTTTACTTTCTTGAAGTTAGAGAATCACAGAATGGTTTGGGTTGGAAGGGACCTTAAAGATCGAGTTTTCCACTCCCTGCCATGGGCATGAGAGGGTCCCATCCTAACCATCCTAAATTTGCAACCTGCTCTTCTTTTATCAGCTGGAGGAAGAGGAGGTGCTCTGGGTGCCAGAGCAGAGACTCCCGTGTGCTGGTGGGAATTCAGGTCTCAGTGGGGGCACTGCTCAGCACTGGCACAGCTGGTCAGGATGGCCCCCTCGTGCCAAGTCTGGGTGACCCTGCACATGCTACACCCAGAGAGAAGGTCTCCAGCTCAGCAGCCAGGTTATTTCTGATCCTTTCTGCGTTCTGAACAAACAGCATCTCCCTTCCCACTTGCTTTCTTCCTGACATCCCCTCACCTCAGCTTCTCCCAGCGAATGGACATGCACAGTGACAGCACAACTGGGAACTCTTAAAAAACCAGGCTATTACAAGCAAATGAAATCATGAAAAGGGGGAAGGGAAGGAAATAAAGCAAACAGAATTAAGGAACAAAAAGGGAAAGAGTTCTAGCATGATACTTTTCCTTCCACCACACAGAAGACACAGGATTGTATTGCAGGGTGGAGGGACAGGGTGCCACACTGAGCACTGCTGGAATAAGGAGTTCAGGAAAGCTGCATTACCTTCTCTGTGCAGGAGGAGCACTGTCAGAGGCTTTGACAGTGAGAGCGTAGGATCGCCCCACTGCCAGCTCCACTCCTGGAGCGATGGTGACAAGGCCTGTTCGCTCATTGATGCTGAAGTCTCCCTGATCCCCAGCCAAAATTTCATACACTATCTGGCCATTGGGTCCCTCGTCCGCATCTACAGCTGTGAGCTGGAATTAAAACCACAGTGTCAGTGTTGGGCCTTCACAAGGCCGTGGGGAGGCAACTGGGAGGGGGAGAGGAGGCAGAGGGGAAACTCCAACAGCTGGAACACAGGAAGGAATTTCTAATCACTGTCCAACAAAGATACAGTTTAAATGGAGGGTAATTGGTGTAAAAACATCATGAAGCAGAGAAAAACTGCTTATTAAAGACTGCAAGCCAGTTATTTTAAGGTACAAATTAAGAAACCTAATTAAGACCAAGTTTCCTCTCTGCGGATTGGAATTTATAACACTTCCTATAAAGGGGGAAGAAGACACTTATTATGTTGCAAAAGTAACAACAGGATCATATTTGTTTACTGGAAGTTCCCATCTCTCCCTACACCATTCAAAGGGACAACCTTGGTACTGCCAGGAGGTTTCACTCCCAGGTCTGGCATTCCAAGCCCTCGTTGTGCAGAACTGGAGAACAAAGTCTGTATTAATATGCACATACTCTAAAGAGCCAAGGGGAGGGAAATGGCAGTTGTTCCCATATGGATACACACGGAGAATCACAGAACCATTAGGCTGGAAAAGCCCTCTGAGATCATCAAGTCTGACCATTCCCCAGCACTGCCAAGGCCACCATTAACCCACATCCCCAGGTGCCACATCCACACACCTATTAAATCCCTCCAGGGATGGGGACCTCAACCACTTCCCTGGGCACCCTGTTCCAATGCTTGACCACCCTTTCCACGAAGAAATTTTTCCTAATATTCAAACTAAACGTCCCCTGGTGCAACTTGAAGCCGCAGGAAACACATCCCAGACGTGCAAGGCCCATTTCACAGGGCAAGGTGACACCACCCCCCTGACAGGCTGTGCTTGGGGGTGACCTCAGGGTGAGACAAACACAACTGAGCACATCCCTCTGTACTCTGGTGACTCTGCACCACCTCTGCTAGCTCGGTGGTTACTCCCACCTGCATTGTTTCTTCCTTACTGTTGCACAGTTTTGATTCTGAGCATGAGAAAAACCCAAAGGCCCAAATTCTACTGATGAACATAATGAAATGAGGGGGTTCTTCCCTTGCCCCTGGGAAAGGCAGTGGGTTTATCCCACTTCTGTAGCTTGCAATGTTAAAACAAACACACACACAGCCAGAAATTAAAGCTCAGGGAACATTTTTTGCTTTGAGTGACAAGAAGAATCACAAAATAGAATCACAGAATGGTTTGGGTTGGAAGGGACCTTAAAGCCCATCTCATTCCAAGCCCTTGCCATGGGGCAGGGGCACCTTCCATTAGCTCAGGTTGCTCAGAGCCCCACCCAGCCTGGCCTAGTTGCTCTTCTTCCCTTATTGTTTGTTTTGCAGATACAAAAGACACACTGCTTCCTCAACTGGTTTTTCATTTGGTACAACTACATGTCCCCTCAAACAGCACGTGGGAGGACATAAAGCCACATGAACAATAATTGAACATCCAGCAGGATAAACTTCTGCCTGCTGGGCAACCTCTTTCCCCCCCTGTGACACCCTCAGAGGTGACAGCACTGCAGACAGGTAGAGGAGCTCAGTGACATCTCTTCTGTGCTATGATCTAAAATAATCTATCAGTCAATGCTGCATCACACTTGAACTTCAGCGGGTCAGGGATGCCCAGAGCACCACCTACAACTGCCAAACTACCACCTCCAGCTGCCAAACCACCAACTCCAGCTGCCAAACCACCACCTCCAGCTGTCAAACCACCACCTACAGCTGCCAAACCACCACCTACAGCTGCCAAAACATCACCTACATCTGCCAAACCACCACCTACAGCTGCCAAGCCACCACCTACAGCTGTGAAACACCTCCTACAGCTGTGAAACCATCTACATCTGCCAAAACACCTCCTACAGCTGTGAAACCACCACCTACATCTGCCAAACCCCCACCTACATTTGCCAAACCACCTCCTACAGCTGCCAAACCACCACCTATAGCTGCCAAAACGTCACCTACAACTGCCAAAGCACCTCCTACAGCTGCCAAAGCACCACCTAGATTTGCCAAACCATCCCCTACAACTGTGAAATCACCTCCTACAGCTGCCAAACCACCTTTGCCCAAGGATGGCTGAAGAACTGGAAGAGCAGAAACCAAACCTTGTCCCTAAAACAAGAAGCCAAAGCTGTAATATTTGAGTTAATCACATTTTCATACAACCTCAACCACCAAGGGGAGTATGTGAGTCATTGAATCATAGAATCCCAGAATGGTTTGGTTTGGAAGGGACACTAAAGATCCTGTAGTTCCAACTGTCCCTGCATTAGGCAGGAACACCTTCCACAAGAAGGTTGGTTAGAGCCCCATCCAGCTTGGCCTTGAACACTTCCAGGGAAAAAACTCAGGGATCTATATATATATATATATACATATATATCTATATCTATATCTATATCTATATCTATATCTATATCTATATCTATATCTATATCTATATATCTATATATATATCTATATATATCTATATATATCTATATTTCTGATTCTTTACAGGTTCAGTGAAATATGAAATTTCATGCAAAAAGTCAAAAACCTGTTCAAACCAAGATCTAAGCACACAATACCTTAAACAGAATGTATTGACTGAAATGGTAAAATTTAAATATATTAACAAAAATTTACCTTCTTTGTTAGGAGTACCAGCTATTCTTGCTGTTGGGAACTGAGCTACTTTAGGTAGGATCAATCATTTTGAACATGGAATAGGTTGTGCACAGTATTCACCAACTAAAAAGCACATTAAGTCACTTTTCTCCTGGAGCAATCAGTGTTCTGCTTCTTTCACACCCAGCACAGTGATCCAAAGCAAATTTCCAACACAGAACTATTTAATTTTCCTAAACTGGTTGCACTTAAAAAGCAAATCTTAATTCCTACAGTATTTTTCGACACTGTATTTTGAACATGTGATAAACCCTTGAAACGCCCCAAAAAATCATGAAACGGAGTTCATCTCCCCTTAAAAGGTTTCAAAACCAAATTTATATCCATGTGTGAGGGTTTTTATCTACCTCATTCTGTATTTTCTTTTGAAATTCTGAGAAGGATGAAGGCTGCACTTTAATCACTCCTTCTGCAGTTTCTCTCCACACAACTGGACGTGTTCATTAACCTCACGGGGAGTGGTAATCCACCTCCCTGACACAGATAAAAAAAGAGCTGTAATAAACCTTCTCTGCTGAACTTCAGAAGTAACACACACACCAAAAAGGTAAATAAAGGCTTTATGCAAAACATAAGGCCCTAAGTACTTAATGACAGGATTTGGAACCAGGCCACTTTTTACTGTGACAGCATGAAAAAGGAAAATTAATTGACTACACAAGCCCATATATTTAGAAGGTTAATTAAACCTACAAATGCTGAATGCTTGGAAAGATAAGTGATTTGAATAACATTTTGGGGGGCAAAAATGGGAATCAAAACTGGAATTAAATAGAATTAAAGTTCAACAGCTGCCATAATATATGATTTTAGAAATTCCATCTCCAGCTGTCCCAGACTGATAGAGCTTCATAGTTAACAAGATTTGAGAAATATGGGCTAAAATATACAGGAAGAAGAGCAAAAGAAGGTTTATTTTACTTTCCTAAAAAACTTTGCATGCAGCAGTATCGGCTCCATTGCATTAATATTTAATGTACTGAAAGTTTTGCAAAATGGGTGCATGTTCTGCTGCTGCAAGAACTGATTTTCATGGGAGAAAAAGGAGATTTAGAAGGATGACCTTAAACTCACAAAGACATTCTTGGTCACAGTATAAGCTCTGGTCAGACTCACTTTGTACTTGGAGGAAACTGGGCTTTGGTGTTTGACTTGTCAGCTTTTCACAGCAACACTTTTAGTGAACCTTGCCCTGGACAAAGTGAGGACCAACCTTTCCAGAACCCTTTGCCAACAGATTAAATGTGATGGAGATATTCCAGGATTGTGATGGAAATAATCCAGGACTGTGATGGAGATATCCCTGAACTTGAGCCAATCAAACATAGAGCAGGTCAAAATACTTCTTCTTTATGTTCTCAAGTCTTTACCCCATATTTTTACCCGGGTCTGCAGGGACGTTGACTGAGCAATGCAAACACAACCCAGTTTTGTTTCCTCTTCCTGCTAATCATGTTCACTTTAGAGATGGAAATTAATAACCTGATGGGCAAAGGGTTGCAAATAACCACATAAATAAAACATTAAGTGGGGGGGTTGGAGATGGCTTTAATGAAGATTTCTTTATGGGAAAAGGTTCTTCCCCCAGAGGGTGGTTGGCACTGACCAGGCTCCCCAGGGCAGTGGGCACAGCCCCAAGGCTGCCAGAGCTCCAGGAGGGTTTGGACAATGCCCTCAGGGACAGGGTGGGATTGTTGAGGTGTCTGTGCAGAGCCAGGGGTTGGACTGGAAGATCCCTGTGGGTCCCTTCCAGCTCAGGATATTCCATCATTCTGAGCTCTCCTCTAAACTGTCCTGCAGTTTTATGGCAAGGTGCAGGTTTAAGAGCTGTAAGCCATGAGCATATTCCAACCTCCAAATACCCAAAATGCTCTGTGCAATCAAGAGCTGGGGCAGGACCTCTGAATTAACCTGCACTGGTGATCTCAGGTAGAATTTTTCAGAGGTGAACAGGTCATGCATCAATCCCCTGTATGTTAGATTTTCCATTTTCAATGAGAGAGATACATAATTGTTCTTGGAAAAGAGCCCTTGAACGTGGGTCATGCACTGCAAGAGGAGATTAGGTAGAAGTTAAGAAACATGGATAAATTGAAATAGGTTATTTTGGTTTCATGACTTTAAAGAGTAAGAAGAGAAGAATTGGGGTTGTTCAGCCTGGAGAAGAGAAGCTCCAGGGTCACCTAATTGTGTCCTTCCAGGGCCTGAAGAGGCTGACAAGAAACATGGAGAGAGACTACTTCCAAGGGCCTGGAGGGACAGGACAAGGGGAAATGGCTTCCCACTGCCAGAGGGCAGGGTTAGATGGGATATTGGGAAGAAATCCCTCCCTGTGAGGGTGGGGAGGCCCAGAGAAGCTGTGGTTGCCCCTGGATCCCTGGAAGTGTCCAAGGCCAGGCTGGACGAGGCTTGGAGCAACCTTGTCCTGAGCTTTAAGGTCCCTTCCAACCCAAAGCATTCCAGGATTCCATGACTGTAGGACACACACCTAAAGACCACTTGACAAGTCTTCCTGTAAAGACAAAATACACAAAATCTCTTCACGGGCCAAGGAATCCTCAGACCTTGAGGCAAATTTATGGCAAGTTTTAGGTGAATGATGTTTTTTTACCATCCTCTGTCCCTTCCCAGCTCTCTCATTTCCTTGCTCAGCATTCCCTGTGCCCAGCACAGTTCATGCTATCTGTAAAATGAGAGATGTCTAAAGAAACACAGTGGATTTAAATCATTCATCTGAAATGTTACAGCACCACTGCTCCCTACTCCAACCATCAATGTACAACCAGTTTAAATATCTGAATCACAACAGTAAAAGGGTGGAAAACTGGACAGCAAAAAATACAATAATAAAGAGGAAAATAAGTACTTTAATAGGTTTGCTATTAATCAGTCTTCCTAGTGACAAATATTATTTACCACACATTTAACTGTTTTCAGTGACAGATTTCTCAGTCTCGATTGCCACAAAAAAATACACATAAAAGCAGAAGGAAAAACCAGGTAAGAAATTCTCAAGCAGATTGTAAAGACATTTAAACTTTACTTTCCTCTCCTCAACCAAGGCCTCAAACAATTTCACATGTACTGAAAGCAGACAACTGAAATAAAAACTTTTGCTCGCTTCTCTGAAAGGCCACAGGGAAAGAAGGGAAATTCCTTGCTCTAATCACGCAGGGAGAAAGAAAAGGATAGGAAAAAAAATTGAATTTTGCCTGTAATTAATGTATTTTCCTGCTAGTTTTGGCTATTTTCAAGCAGAAATTAAGGATTTTTTATTTTCTTTAAGTTTTTTTGGAGTGTGCCAGAGAGCAAACACAATCTAAACTATTAACTAAAATGTTTTGGGTTTTTTTTCAGTAGTAAAATCAAGCCAATTCCCCACAAAACGAGGAAATGAGAAAGTACAAACTGAGGCTATTGGTCTATTTTATTTGTACATTTTCATGCAGCTGCACTCAGTTAAAAAAAAATAAGAGAACCATCTCAATCCCTTCTTACCCTCGGGATAATAAAAGCAAAGTGGTAACTCCCTGAGGGCACTTCCAGTGCTGTAGCAACATTTGCATTTTGGTAGCAGGATGACATGATTCATAAAGGAAAATCTGTCTTGATCCTCTCTGAAATCAGCCTGATTATTATAATAAATGATTATGAGCCCATACAGATTTTCTGAGGTCACTGTTCTTTTTCTAACCTCCCTCCTCACATCAGAGAGTGGTTTTGATGAACTAATCATATCTGACCTGGGTCATTTTCCTGTGGGAACTGTCAGGGCTGAGCAGAGGATCTCAAAGGATCCTCACCCCGAGGATGAGCTCGGGTTACATGGGGAGTTTGTTCCATGTGCCAAGAACAAGCCATCAAAATCACTGTATTAGAGTTCAAAAAATGGAAAAGAAAGGTCAGTTTTGCCTTTGAGGTCGTTATAAAGCAGAAGAAAATTGAAATCAGGAAGCACAAACCCACCTTCCCAGCCTAAGGAAACCCTGGGGATTTATACAGAAAAAGATGAGCAACTTTCCAAACAGCACAGCAGCCCAAAATCACAGAAAGGAATCAAAGAATGACCTGAGCTGGAAAGGACCTTAAAGCTCATCTTGTTCCACCCCCTGCCATGGGCAGGGACACCTCCCACTAGCCCAGGTTGCTCCAAGCCCCGTCCAACCTGGCCTTGGACACTTCCAGGGATCCAGGGGCAGCCACAGCTTCTCTGGGCAACCTGTGCCAGGGTCTCCCCACCCTCACAGGGAAGGATTTCTTCCCACTATCCCATCTAACCCTGCCCCTAGCAGTGGGAAGCCATTCTCCCTTGTCCTGTCCCTCCATCCCTTGTCCCCAGTCCCTCTCCAGCTCTCCTGGAGCCCCTTCAGGCCCTGGAAGGGGCTCTCAGATCTCCCTGGAGCCTTCTCTTCTCCAGGCTGAACAATCCCAATTCTCTCAGCCTTTCCTCATGGCAGAAGTGCTTCATCCCTCTGATCATCTCCTGAGAACCCAGAGGTGGACTCTCCTTTTATTCCTGGCATCATCACAATACACCAAAATCTTAAATATTGACTCTTACTTTTTTTCTAAGTCAGTTAATTTATAAACTCAGATCATCTGGCAATGTAAGATGAGTTGATAAAAGAGCCAGAATTTTCTACCTTCCATCTCTGACCACATTATAAAGTCACAGAACCTGAAAGGACCCACGTGCCGACCACGTGCAGAATTTACATTTTTTAGCAAAGGTGAATTTAGAGCCCAACTTCCTCACTACTCCTTCCCCAAAGGACCTTGTCCAGATCAAGTTCATTAAGAAATTTGTACTCCTCCTCTTTCCATGCCTCCAGGCCCTGAATATGTTTGCAGCTCCAAGACCAGAATGTGTCTGAGAACTCAAGAGCAGCGCATTCCCTCTGAGCACAGCAGCACTTCGGGTGCTTCAGACAAGCACAAGATGCTGCTCTGCTTCATCCCAGGTACCATTAGCAGACCTCAGGCAGCCCAGAGCATCCTCAAGGCCAATTTTGGGCAGGAAAACATTCTTTTCACACATCCAGCAATCTCATTTAGCAACATTTTCTGCCTTACATTCCCTGGCTCCTTCAGGACAACAGTATTTGATATCTTTTGTTTCCACTTGTGCATCGCTTGAAGGAACTCAATCGTGCTTAGAACTTTTATCTTTCCCTCAAATCTTGCTGAAAATGCCCCCCCTGGGGCTCTCACTGATGGTTTTTCAGCACTTGCAGCTTAAGAAGATTGGTGAAAAGGCAAGAGCAACATGAATGAAGATGCAAGGGTGCAAATGCACAGCTACAGCTCAAGGGGGGCATGTGCCAGAACAGACACTGAGCCCCCTCCTAATGCTGGTAAATCACTGCTACCCTGATTAATTCCTGGCTGTAATTCAGAAAATGGCATTTTATTACTCAAGTTGGCTGATTAATTTTATTTTCCCGATATTCCCACTGCCTCCACCAATGGGATCTTGTCCTTACCCATCTCCACTGGCAGCACTCAGGGCATGGCTGAGATCTCAGAAGAATTACCACCCAAAAAAAGCCTTTTTCCATTAACTTCAGTGCCACTGGGATTCACCTCCAGTCCTGCACTAAGACATAAATCAGTGCTGGCAAACTTTAATTAAAGCTGCTCCTCTCTGGGCCCGTGTTCAGCACATTTTTCACTGCTCATTTGCTCTACAAACAAATGACTTGTAAAAACCAACAGGTTTTATGACATGGTAAAAACATTCCTGGTTATGTTCTACTCAACTGTTTACCTGTTCCCCCAAAGCATTTTATTTCAATATCCTGCTAATCAAGGGAAATATTCTTTTTTCTTTTGAAATTTTCCAGCTGAAAAGGTTTTGCAGAACTTCAGGTGAAACAGCTGAGCTGCAGCTGTACATCTGAGACAGGCCTAACACTTAGTAGGAGCAATTTTAATAGTTATTTAACTAATGAAGTGGATGGAGATACACAAAATTAAGTTCTAGCTGGTTTCAGTGCATTTCCAATCTACTGCTAACAAAAAGTAAGTCAACAAAGCCAATAAAAAGACCTGAAATTACCTTTATAACACCTTCCCCAGGCCTCATATCCGTATAAATCTTGACATTGTAAGAGATGTTGGAGAAGGTGGGGGAATTATCATTTGCATCGATCACCACGATATTGACAGTCACTGGGACACTCTCCTGGACTCCATCAGAAGCTGTCATCTTCAGCAGGAAAAAAATAAGCAGAATAGGAACATATTTTAATGATGTGTTCTTAATACAATTCCAGCTGTGAGGAAACACAGCTTAACGACCAAAAATCAGCATTTCCCTTCTCTCTGCACTTCAAAATTCCACGAGGCTTCAGCTGAGCTTGAGCCTGCAGAGTGCAAGACTCAGGGGAAAAGCAAAGCAAACCCATACCTTTGAAATGCTCTGTGTCAGGTGGGCAGGAGAAATGAGAGGGAATCACCTGGAATTTCCCAGGGTTGGGAGCAGGATATGAGCCACAGTCCGTGGCTGGGAGGGATGAGCCACCTGTCAGGTCTCACCTGGGCATCACCACACACAGGAGCTCCTCTACCTCTGTTAAACCTCCAAGAGAGCATTTCAAGGTGGCACTGAAAGAGCTGAAGGCAATTTTTCACTCCAGAGGGGAAATCTGAGCTCTCCTTTCAAGTGCTAAAAGGGCAGAAAATAAGGAGGCACAGACTGGGAACCCCGGCGGAGGAACAGCCCATTTCCAAGCTGCTGTAGGGCCATTGTTTAGTCACAGCCTGAGGGACTATCAAGTCCATTTTTTCCTCTTTATTTTTTTTTTTAAATACTGCTGGCTGGGGTTTACTGCAGCCCAGTTTTTTATTTGCCCCTGAAAACAAGCAAAAAGACCAAGGCAGGTGTCACGTTCCTGGCTCAGGGGACGAGACAAGAAAGGCACTGACGGCCTCAAAGGCCAGGTATAAAAAAGTGGGCTCAGATGCTGCCATGGCAGGGGGGTGAGGAGCAGGGGACACACCTGGGACCATGGACATGATGCTCAGGGGGATCTAAATGCTGCTCTCAAACTGGAGAAGCAGTCTGGAAGGAGGCACCACCCCCGTCAGCTCCCCTGGTTTCGCCGTTTCCTCCTCCTGGGCCGTTTTCCTGATCTCCAAGGATGTCAGAACCAACCCTTTCTCCCAACAAGCTCTGACTGACCCTGCAGGGCCTTCCAGGGGTGGTCACTCACCGAGAAGGTGTAGAGCTGCTGGGTTTCTCTGTCCAGGGGCTGCAGCAGGGTGAGGTAGCGGGTGATGCCACTCTGAGTCACAGTGAAGAACGTGTTGTAATCGTTCAGGAAGAGATGGAGCTGGGGATCCTTGGTCTTCAAACAACATCAAGAAAAAAAGGGTGTTTTGTTAGAAATTCACCTACACCATTAGCTCTCCAATTATTTGATGCAAGTGCTTGATTTAGTTGAGACCTAAATAGGCAGAAAGTACAAATGCTGTGATTAAGAATCGTCAAAACGGTAAAAAAAAAGGTAAAAAACCCCCACTGCTGGTCTAAAAATCTAATGTTCTTCATGAAAAATGGATTAAACCCCTACTTTAACCTCTAGAGTGAGAAAATCCAATGGTAAACAAATACCTGCATCTGTTAGTTTTAAATGATTGCTTTTTTTCCCCCCTTTGAAACAGTAATTTCTAAGCCAAATATAACAATATAAGAAACCAGATTCAAGCATACTAAAAACAAAACAAAACTGATCTTGATTAACAGAGCAATAAAACAGTTGGGTTGGTGCAATGAAAAATATAATGATGTGTTGAAGTGCATCATTAAATAGATGCAGCTCAGAGACTCTCTGCATCTCAAAAAGAATCAAAATATATTGATGCAGAATTATGAACTTCTCGGTTGATCAAGGGAAAAAACATAATAAATGAACTGTGGCACCGTTTCCATTAGCAAGTAACATTTTAAGGTAAATAAAGGCAAGTCAAGGCATTGTAAATTTACTCATGTCTTCATGAGTACTTCAGTCACTCCTGACTTCCATCTCTTTCAAGATGTTATTGAGTTATTTAACTGATTGGACTGCAAGGGTCACTCTACATTAGTTAAATTTGCAAACAAACTACATTAGCTTTTATTGCCTCCAGCATTCCAACAAATCCCCGTGTCCTTGTCCATAATGTGGTTAATTTAACCTGACTTCTTGTGCTACTCTTGGTCACGAGTGAGAGTCCATTTCTGTCAGATGAAGCCAAGCTGGTGGAGTACAAATTCAACAAAAGGTTGGGAAACAAGTCCCATAAAAACAGGTTTAAATTGCCCCAAATAATGTGGAGATGAGGGATCAGAGGGATGAATAAAACCTAGCGGAAAATTCAGGATTTTACCAGCTGCTTTCCAACATCATTGCACAAAAGCCACCCCGTACAGGGTAGGACACACAGTGCAGGCACAAACAGCTGAATTCAGCAAATTAACAAAAAAAAGGAGCATTAGTCTCTTCCTCTCTCAATATTTTCTCAACCTGAGGCCACGATGCTTCCAGAAGGTTAATTCCTACCTGTCATTAGTGTCAGCCCTATTGGATTAGACCCCCCAGAGCACTGGAGAGGTCACCAACAGGCACTGAGTGGCATCATGAACAACTCCCAGGACAAAATTAGTACAATTAGAAGGAGAAAGAGGAACTTTTCTTAGTGAACTAGAACAAAGCCCATGCAAAGATTGCCCAGTTTAAAGGAGAAACCATTTCCGTTGCCGCCAGCTACGTGGAAGAACTATCCCAGTGTTCCAAACAAGTGGTTTCTCATTCCCTGAAGCTTTGCTGCAATTCCAGCTCCCAGGAAAATTACAATTCCTTTTCCAGTCAGCAATGCAAACAGCAACGTCTTTATCTCATGCAAAATTACAGGAGGTAGTTGCCAACAACTGCTCCCTTTGCAGACACTATAAAGCCAAGCAAAAATTTATTTTACAAAAAACCCCTGTTGGTTGTTACACTTCTGGCTTGTCATGTCATTTTGAACACTAATAAACAGTATTTTTTTCCTAATTTGCTCCCCGGGAAAAGCAATGATGGAGATCCCACGCCCTCCCAAAGTAATCCATCCTATTCCTTTGCTATTCCTGTATTAGCAACGTTATCCAAATGTGGAAGTTAAATTGCCTTTACAGCAATCAATGCCTAGTTCATGAGCCTCCCATGCATGTCGGACCTACAGAGCAATTTATTTCCTTAATCTTTCCTTAATCTGGAAAAGCACTGTTATGCCTTTACATCATTAGCATGGATATTTTACATTATTATCACATTTTGTGCTGCAAGAAAGTAGATCACTTAACTGAACATTTCATGTGAGAGAATACGACTGTGGGAAACAATCCAGCAATGCTGCCAACACTATTTCCAATACTTTAATTTTTAAACTATTTTATTTTAGGGCCTGGACTTAAACACTGTGTTTTTTGGGTACACTGCTGGGTCATGCATTAAGGCTGGTCTCTGAGGAATTCTTTAGCATGTAGTTTTATGTAGGAAAGGATCAGAATCCACACAAAAGAGTGCACATGCAACCTGCAAGGGCCGTTTCAAGCACACAGTTCCAACCTGAGAGGGTTTAGTAGGTACTTTTAAACCTGACATGGTTTAGGAGGTACTTTTTAAATTAAAAAAGGACTTTTTGTAATACTTAAGATGTCTGTGAAGACATATAATTATTTAATGAACATTAAGCATTTAATGAACATTCACATGACTTTATGCCCTGAATTTGGTCCAATGTGTTTAAAGGGCTCTTTGCAGGTTTCCCAAACCAAGGGACAGCTCCAGCCTCAAACACCATCAGGGCAGAGAAAAATGAAGGAAGACAAGAGGAAACAAATAAAGAAATCACACAATTGAAGCAAGAAATGGAGTTTTTCAAACACAACACCCAATACGTACGGGCAGGGCACCTGGGGCGACCTACAAAGGAAAACAGGGCACAACATGAATCCAAGTGAGGAAACACAAACCTGGGACTGAGGGACATCAGGAGAGCAGGACATTTGGGGAATTAATGGCTACAGACAAAAAAACTGCAACAAAACAAGGCACACAAAGGGCTCCAATAAACACTCAATAAACAAAGAATGGCCTTGGATGTGCTCTGCTTGAAAAATCTCCGGAGTAGTTCCTGCCTGGATGTTAATGTTCCATTCCTGCTGTGTAAACACACAAAGGTTTACAACTCTGCCCAAAGCAAACAGCTTTCCAGAATTTACTAAGATTAAACCAAAATTAAATGATATTGTCAAGACTGAGCAGGCAAGGACATATATTCTGTATGTGTTTCAACATCCCCAAGGACTTTTTGGAGGGAGTCTGTTTGGCTGTGAAGTTCTCCAGGGTAGCCAGAACGAGCTCCAAGACTATCCAAACTGCTCAGGCTTCCTGATTGCCAGCACAGGCTCATCTCCAAAGAGCTGCAGCAACAACAAAGAGACTTTAATGACACATCTGGGTTTCCCAGCATTCTCCACGTGGAGGATGATCAGCACTGAAATGCCCACGGCAGAGAGTTGTTTTGTTGCAGAGATGTTTCCAGCATCTGCCCTCCTCATTTCTGGGGGAAAGGAGAAAGTCTTTCCCACTTTCACTAGACAAATGTGAGCCTTGCAGAGGCACAGCAAGTGAGGTTATTGGTCCCAACACAAGAAAGACATTGAACTCTGGAAAGAGTCTAAAGGAGGCCACTAAAGTTGATCTTGGGGCTGGAGCCCCTCTGCTCTGGAGCCAGGCTGGGAGAGCTGGGGGTGTTCACCTGGAGAAGGGAAGGATCCAGGAGACCTGAGAGCCCCTCCCAGGGCCTAAAGGGGCTCCAGGAGAGCTGGAGAGGGACTGGGGACAAGGGAGGGAGGGACAGGACAAGGGGGAAGAGCCTCACACTGCCAGAGGGCAGGGTTAGATGGGATAATGGGAAGGAATTCTTGGCTAGTGATGAGATGATCTTGATGGTCTTGAAGGTCCCTTCCAACCCAAACCGTTCCAAGGCCATGAAATGGTGCAGCTGTAACATGGCTGTGAGGGAGCAGAGAACCAAATTTAACTTTCCCTGTGTTAATCCACGTGTCAGAGATTCATGGAGAGCTTCCAGCCCAGGGTGGGCAGGAGGTTTCCAGCAGAGAAAGGCTGGGAGGACTAAATGGTAGCTCAGGGTGGGTTTGTAAGCACAGGTAATGCTCATTAACTTCTGCAGGTCTTGATGTTCTCCTTGCTTCATTGTACCTCCATAAATGAATGTATTTACTGAGTCAGGATTGCTGATGAGACGTTGCCATCACCCTCTCCGTGCCTGTGCATCTTAGTTTCCACTGGTGGCACTGGCTAAACATAATGTATTCTGTCTTGTAATTGAAAAATCAGTTGAGATTGTATTTCCTGTTAAAATGACTCCCTGTCTTCTGATAAATGCAGGAAGAAAGTGGGCATCTGAACTGAGTGTCTTAAGGAAAAAAAAGAGAACAAAACACGTTCTAAATTTAAACCCCGTGGGAATTATAATTGAGTCCTGCTATAAACCTTCCAAAAATTAATTTATAGATGTGACACTGCAAACAGACCTTTAACTAGAGCAGCCCTGCCAAGTACTGATATAATTAAGTGGTCTGTTTAAATGGCATAAATTAAATTAAGCCACACGGGTACCTTAAGACCTGAGTAAACCAAAGCTGAGATGAGGAATTTAAACAGTCTGATCTGAGGGCTCTTTACATAAGGCTTCCCAAGCCACTGGCTTCCTTACTCTTGGGCCTTCCATGGGAGAGAACTCATTTCTCTTATCTAGTGATAAGGGTTGGTGAGAAAGCTGCCCTGTGTATCAATCATGGAATGGTTTGGGTTGGAAGGGTCCTTAAAGACCATCCAGTCCCAACCCCTGCCACGGGCAGGGACACCTTCCAACTAGACCAGGTTGCTCCAAGCCTGGCCTTGGACACAGTTCCTGATGAATAGTCCCTCTCCTGCTTCCCTGTAGCTCCCTCAGATCCTGGAAGGTGCTGTGGGGCCTCCACAGAACCTTCTCCTCTCCAGGCTGAGCAGCCCCAGCTCTCCCAGCCTGTCTCCAGAGGGGAGGTGCTGATGGACACCGATGCCATCTTTGTCAGGTGTGCCAGCACATGTTCAGAACAGCACCTGTGTGGTACTCCTGGTGCTCCTGTGCATCCCTGCAGCCCATGCAGCATCCGTGGGCAGTGGGATAAGGCCCAGGACACTACTGTGCCACTCCAGATTCTCTTTTCCCAGACACCTTCTTGGTTGATGCCTCCGTTACCTGTGGAGTTGAAGTCAAAGGAAGCTCAATATCCCAGGCACATGGGCAGATTCTTGGGTTATCCTGTGCAAGAGCTGGACTTGATCCTTGTGGGTCCCCTCCAGCTCAGGACATTTAGTGAGCTGTGTTTTCAGAGAACTTGTGGCAATTTTAAATGATTCTTTTACTTAAAGGCATCTCCGTAGCAGCTGGAGCGGACGAAGCAAATAATGGATAAAATAAGTTTTAAATCTAACTACAAGCGCAGGTTATGGATTTCCAATAACAAATCCAGAAAAGGAAATTAATAGATTTCTTCACATTTTTTTTTTTAACCAGGAGTGCTGAAGCATTTTTCTCTAATATTTGCCTGATTGCTTCTATCTTTCACAGTTGTTGTTTGAACTTGTTTTGTAGTTGATGTTCTCTTGAGAAGAGAGTTCTCATAACACTGAGCAGCACTTCTGGGCCACCCCACCAGTTATGGTAGGGAAGAATAATTCAGGAAATATTCCTCCCAGAATGAAACAGCCCATTAATATCATTACTAAAACAAACAGAAGGGAAAGGTAAAGCCAAAAGGCTGCTTCTCTTTTTTAGGATTTATAAAGATTAGGGTTTTTTAATTTGGGGGGATCTTTCACTTAAGGGAAATTAAAAATATTAACACTGAATCACTCCTGCAGCATTGTGTTTCTTCCTTTATTTGTGTAGGGTGAATATCTCATGGTTTCTGCCCTCTGAAGCTGTTTTTTCTCTCTCTGAGTTCCTTGGAGTCCTCAAGGAATTTGGGGTTTTGTGTATCTTCCCCGTTTTAAACAAATGTTACTGCTAATTAGTGGCACCACTGAAGCTGACACTTGTTTCTTGCCATCTCCCATCAATGACTCATCTCTGTGAGGAACAGAAGGTGCCTTTTTCCAAAACTTTTCCCATTAGCTTTTCATTCCAGGAGGGACACGGCCCTTTCTGCCCCAACCTATAAAATCTGGTGTCCGACTTTCTAGTCTTGCTTTGTGAGGGGTTGGAGGGGCTTTTGGTGGTGATTGAAAGAATTTGGAATTAAAGCACTGCTCAGCACCATCCTGGTCCTTGGTTTAACCTTTTGACATCTTTTCCTCCCAAGTGGAGTTGACATAAATGCTGAAGAGCTTTCCACAGAATCCCAGGATGGTTTGGGTTGGAAGGGACCTTAAAGAACATCTCGTTCCACCCCCTGCCATGGGCAGGGACACCTCCCACTAGCCCAGGTTGCTCCAAGCCCTGTCCAACCTGGCCTTAGACACTTCCAGGGATCCAGGGGCAGCCACAGCTTCTCTGGGCAACCTGTGCAGGGCCTCCCCACCCTCACAGGGTGTATTCCATCTGTATATTAAACGTAACCCAGTTCTGGCAGTGGGAAGCCATTCCCCCCTGTCCTGTCTCTCCAGACCCTTCTCCAAAGTTCCTCTCCAGCTCTCTTGGAGTCCCTTAAGGGACTGGAAAGGGCTCTAAGGTCTCCCAGGAGCCTCTTCTTCTCCAGGTGAACACCCCCTGCTCTCTTACATCCCGAGGTACGAGCACTCTGGAAAGAGAGAGGATGTATCTCCTCTGGCAGATCTGATGGATCACATCTGTTGGCCTTAAGCAACAGCAAAACAAAAACTGATCCCGTTGTAGAATCTGGTGTTGAGACAGAGCAATCCTTCCCTATCTCCTGTGTCCATGGTCCTTATCCCTCAGACCTGGGGGAAGGGACCTTTCAGGTGCAGCCTCAGCCTGGCAGCAAGGAGGGGACATGAGGGCCACTGGCCAAGTTCCAGCACGGTCCATCTGCCCAGCACATGGAATCACAGCCCAGCAGGGAGGGAGATCTCCCTTATTTTGTTCTTACTTTGGGGTGTCAGAATTCAGGCTTTATTGCCACATCATTTCCCAGTCTGGAAATCCTTGGCAGTTACTCATCATGCCACACTGAAGTATTAAGCTTTTCCAATAATAAACAGAAATAATTCACTTTTGGCTCTTTGTTTTGCATCGTGTGGCTGAAGTTGATTTTCACTCACTTCTCCAAACTCCTGTTATCCAACGTCCAATGTCTTAGGTTCACTAGGAAAAACATTTGGGCTCTTGAACTGTCATATCCACAGGAGATTTCCTTTCCAACATCCAAATGTTGAGAGGACTTCATGGGAATGTGCTGATGGACTAAAGAGGGGCCCAGTGGTCAAACCGCTTGTGATGATTCTCAGAGCACCCCCCAAAACTCGAGGTACTGAACTTGTACTGACTAACTGAGTAACACAAAGCACTTTTGGTGGGGTACAGAAATCCCAGGATTACATTACAAACCTAGGGAAGTAAAAGAACAAGCCGCTCTTTTGTGCAGAAGCTTTTGAAATTAAACATCTGCATTTTGAGAGCATGTACATAGCACGAGGGCTGCTATCTACCTGGCAGTTCCATGATTCAATCAGAGTCAGCCCAAATTCAGGATTTAGCAGCTCAAAGTCATCCTAATTTTCTGTCTCGTATATAATCTAATATGTAGTTACAGCAGAGAACCCTGTATTATCAAATCTGCCTTTGCCATCTCATGGGCAGAGCTGTGCAACTGCCAGGGAAAGGTTAATCTCAGCACTATTAACTCCAGCCTGGAAACCCTCCGGAGGTTAATGACAGCCCAAAGTCTGTCTGTCATCCCTTCAGTGGAATGATATCAACTGCCAGAAATGGGAAAGAGTCCCAAAAAAGCAGCAGCACAGAAAACTGCCAGTCAATTTAAAAGCCTGAACTAGGACACTGAATTTTCTTTAATTAAGGAGAATTTGCTTTGAATTATTCCAAGCACAAGGGATTCAGCCCTTCCCTTTCCAGCAGTGGTGGGTGGATTCTTTGGACACTCTTTGTGTGCACAGGAGGAATTTCCAAGCTCATTGCAGCTGATCCCAGAATCATGGCAAGGTTAAAACTCATCTCACCCCAGTCCCTTTCCATGGGAAAGGAACCTTCCACCTTTCCACCTTCCACTAGACCAGGTTGCACCAACCTGGCCTGGAACACTTCCAGAGATGGGACAGCCACAGCCTCTGTCACAGACAGACACACACCAAGGCCTGTTTGAACCAAAGGATCAAATCAAAGGATCCCAGCAGCCTCCCAAGAAAATTTCTCAAATTAGCAGTTTAAAAAGGTCATGAAACCGTGGCATTAACTGCAATGATTTGCTGCCTGCTGTGCTCAGGAACTCATCACACCATCAGATTCTGTTCAGCACAATGTATTATATTTATAAACACACACCTGATGCCTGCACACCTTGATTATTCCTATACTAACATCCAAGATCCCAGGAATTTGATCAAACAAGAAAATGTTTTGCTTTTAACAAAACTGAACAGGAGTGTTTCACAAACAATCCAGACCCTCAGCAATGCCTGCTGGTGTCCCACACCCTCATTCCACACCTTTTATCCAGCCCCCACAAAGCCAGATCCAACAGTCATTCCCACCTGCCTTCCAACCAGTTTTTATCAATGCCCATAAATCCAGGGAGATGTTTTAATGGATAGAAAGGAGATATTCTACAGGAATGTGAGCTTTAAAAGACCTTCTCGGGACAATAAATCACTCTAGTGCAGTGATGCAAAAGTATCTGCAGTGACAACAGTCTTGTGTTTCTTAAAAATCGTGGATTTGCCTGTGTCCAACATGAATCCTTCAAAATCAGGAGGTTGTTTTCGGACTATCAGGTTAAGAACTAAAGAGTACTGACATGTATAACTAGTACTACAAATCCTATCCCAAAACTCAGCTTTCCTTATGGATCTGAAGTCAACCAGAGAACAGAAACCAAAAAGACCAACGGGGACAACTGGAGAGACAACAAGAATTAGAGGGAAAAGAAACATGAGCCAAAAAAACCCCTCTAACAGCCTTGGTGAGAAATGAAGAAACATCAGCCCTGGAGTGATGTCCTGCTACTACTTGGTTACTGTTCCTTTGAAGATCCCCATGAGTAGTGTTGGTATCCAAATCTGGGCAGAGCAAAGAAAGGATTGACCTTCCAGCCTCCTGCCCTCCTATTCCTCTTCTTCTCAGTTCAAACTACGACTTCCTCCCGCTCTGAGCCCCCCTCTCCCATTTTTCCACACTGTGGGAAAGGCCCATCCCTTTCCCAAAAACCTCTTCGTGCTGAGGATTCATCACCTTGAACAGAACACAAACTCACGGAGAGCTGAGTAAAACACAGAGTAGTTTTCCAGCTCAGATGCACTTTCAAATCACTTCTCAAATTTGAACTCAGAACGAAAACAAAAAGGAAACTGAGAGATAAAAAAAGTGATAGTGAGTTTTGGTGTTTGTGTTTTTTTAATTTATTGATCAAACCTGCTTTGTCTCAATTTAAAAAAAAAAAAAAATTAAAAAGAAAGAGCCCTGAAAGCAATAAAAATGCAACCACAAGAAGGACACTGTAAGGGACCAACACATACCTCCTCCACGTCGTTGTCCAGCACCACGACCTGCAGTGGAGAAGTGAGGTTCTGGTTATCTGAGATGGTGGTTCCCACCGGGGAGGATTCCAGGATGAAGCCCTCATAGGTGGATCTGGTGAAATAAGGCTTCTGGTTGTTCTCATCGAGGACCTCGATGTGCAGGTTGGCAAAGGCAGGAAGGGGGTGGCCATTGTCTTGTTCAGCCTAAAAAACACCTCATTTGTCAAAGGCTCTCAGCCAAGTTCAGCTACAAAACAGAGACTGACTGGGGATGGCTTGGAGTTAACAACCAAAATCCAGTTAAAGAAATGGACACCATTGTGCAGATCCCCCTTTTGTGAAACTGGGCATCATGGAAAAAAAAAATCCAAACAACTAAAAATTAGTAGGAGAGAAGAACAGAAAGACTTCCCATCACAACAAACTTTTACATAGTCCCGAGAAACCCAAAGTTCTACAGCACATGAGCAAACATAGTTCCTTAAACTCGCAGGACTGACTGAGAGTTTTGGAAAAATCTTTGAAGGACAAAAGAAAACTGGAGACTGCTGATTGTACAACAGAACCCAAGGCACCAGCAAGAGAGTTAAAGCCCAAAGGTGCTGCCAGGACACATGGATGCACAGTGCTTCCTACAGATTACTGGACATGACTCCTTCCCTCTCCCCCCAAATCCACCTCCCCAGTGTTACAGGAGTGGGATTTTAATTTGGGGTTTGCCTGGTTTTGCATCCTAGAACAATTAGGGCTGGAAGGGACCTCAAAGCCCATCCAGTCCCACCCCTGCCATGGGCAGGGACACCTTCCACTAGCCCACGTTGCTCCAAACCCCGTCCAACGTGGCCTTGGACACTTCCAGGGATCCAGGGGCAGCCACAGCTTCTCTGGGCAACCTGCTCCCAGAGAAGTTGTGGATGTGAGTGTCAAGCAAAATACTCTTTATTTCAATGAATAACCCCCAGTTTTCACCTGATTTATCTTATTTTCAAACTTCCTAAACATAAAAGCACTAACTGGCCATTCCAGTGGGCTCATCCAACATAAACCCATGATCTTCCTTTCTTGTCTTTTAACTTTACAGCCAACCACTAATTAAGGCAAATAAACAAGGGAAGTAGAAGACAACAAGTAATTTGTTCTCTAATTTATGAAGAGCAAACCAGTTTTAATCATAGTCCTGCACATGTCCCTGTACCAAGACAATAGTAGGGCATTGAAAGACAGTCTCCTACGGCCAAAATGTGTATTCCCAGGGCCAAAACCTGGGAATACCACACCAGTGGAGCCCTAGTGCCTGTCTGCAGACATGAGAACATTTGCCCATTCCCTGCTACTTGTACAGCACTGACATCGTTCAGTAGGGATGAGATTTCTGTAGGGTGAGGAAGAAAAGAAAATGAACTCTGGAATTTTGGGTAGAATACCATTAAATATCTCCCCTGAAGACCATTATACAGCAGACTGACTTCTAAGGGCTTGTATTTAATTTAACCTGTTGGCTGAAGAGATGTCTATGCTAAATTGTTATGTGAGGAAATAGAGACACTCTCCCGGGAGCAGGCTGGGATCTCATTTTGCTGATTTAAGGATTTCCTTCCTTGGTGTTAAACTCAAGCTTTAAGTGAGAAGTGATTGAGAGTAGCCCAGACAGAAGGCCCTGGGGGTGCTGGTGGGGCAGAGGCTGGACCTGCCCCAGCCCAGAAACCCCCCGTGCCCTGGGCTGATCCCCCAGCGTGGGCAGCAGGGCAGGGGGGGATTCTGCCCCTCTGCCCCTCAGGGGAGACCCCCCTGCAGAGCTGCTCCAGCCCTGGGAACAGCACAGCAAGGACATGGAGCTGCTGGAGCCAGTCCAGAGGAGGCCCCAAGAGGATCAGAGGGCTGGAGCAGCTCTGCTGGGAGGAAAGGCTGGGAGAGTTGGGATTGTTCAGCCTGGAGAGGAGAAGCTTTGGGGTGACCCAATTGTGGCCTTCCAGGACCTGAACGGGCCAACAAGAAAGATGGAGAGAGACTATTTCCAAGGGCCTGGAGTGTCAGGACAAGGGGGAATGGCTTCCCACTGCCAGAGGGCAGGGTTAGATGGGATACTGGGAAGGAATTGTTCCCTGTGAGGGTGGGGAGGCCCTGGCACAGGTTGCCCAGAGAAGCTGTGGCTGCCCCTGAATCCCTGGAAGTGTCCAAAGCCAGGTTGGATGGGGCTTGGAGTAACCTGGGCTAGTGGGAGGTGTCCCTGCCCATGGCAGGAGGTTGGAATGAGATGTTCTTTAAGGTCCATTTTAACCCAAACCATTTTATAATTCTATGCTGCAGTTATTTGAATCAATGTAATTAAAATAAGGAGCAGCCAGCACAGAGACAGAGAGGGAAGGTCAGGGCTGACAAAGTTGCTTCTTTGAAGTACATACCAGAACTGGGAGATCTGGGTGAAACAAGGGACATAATTTGTCTAGATTTGGGCTAAGATTTAGGATTATATGTCACACACTGGATTAATTCCCAAGGTCACAAAGTACAGCATAAGGAAAGAACCACTGATACGGATTAAAAAATGTCTTAAGGACAAGAAGGACAGAGTACCTTTAGAACTCAGAAGAAATTTGACTTTACTGTCAGTGAAGCCTGTGATGTGGCAGGGAAATTAAATTGGCACATAATGTGTCTAGACACTGCGCTTAAAAAAACCCCAAACCCCAAAACATACTTTTTTTTTTGGTAATGTATCAGGTGACTTCAGGATCAGCAAGGCTGTAGTGCAGTGAACAGTCCTAGTTACAGAGGCCACCTTTCCAAATAATACAAGTCTTTCTTCTTCCCTTCCCTTAAAGAAAAACACCAGCTATGAAGTTATGCCAAGTTTTAAGTGTTGGATGTTTGAGTTTTACATGAACAAAGATGCCTGTTTACTGCAGGAAGGAAATACAGCCATTTCTGTCAATAAGAGACATTACAGAACAAAGCCATTATTGATTTTAATAGTTTCATTGCTCTGGGAGTGCTGACACACAATTTAGGGTTAATCTTATCTCACAATCACTGGTCTTTCTAATGTGTATCTGTGACAACACTCTAAAGGCAAGAAAATCTTTTACCATGCTGCTAAAGGTGAGGAAAACTTGCTGTTTCCTCTCATGTGTGTGACAACTTTGAAGACTGATATGAAGCAACATTTTAGTAATGGATAGGAAAAGGTCTGGGTTTTCTGCACCCTTTTTCGCCCTCTCCTTATTCACAAAGACAAAACCTGTCCCTGCACTCAGATTTTCAATTCTACATCAACTCTCATTACTAGATTAAATACAGGATAGAAAAAGGGAGGTCTCAAAGAGAATTAGTTGAATACTGAGTTCACCTGAGGGATGAACATTTGAATAGCTAATTTAAAAGACCAGTAATTGTACTTAATGCCTACAGGAGATGCACAGCAATTCAACCAAACTAATTATGTGGGAGATATCAGCCTTGTCAGGAAGTGGACTGAGCAAGTATTTAATGAAAATACACTTCTTTTATTCTTTTTCTCATCTGTCACTGTGAGTTGAAACCCAAAAACTTAGAAAAGCAAAGAATTCCTAAATGCAAGAAAATATATTCATTAAGATACATGGGAAGAGGGGAAAAGTGGAGCTACCCTGAACAAAGATAGCTCAGGTCACCAGATGCACAGAGCCAAGAGATCAAAATAGGATGTGAGGAGTTGAAGGTTGACAGTCTTGCAAAAACCAACCAAACATTGCAAATACAAAGTTTCTGAAGTGCTGGGGAAAAAAAAAAATTAGATAATTCAGAACTTTTTAAATCTCAAAACCCACGGACTTTGGAGCAATTCTCTAAGTCCAGGAACTTCCAGTGCAGGGAGCTTCAGCTGAGGGACATCTCTCATTGCCTGCTAGCATTGTGTTGTCTAAAATTCATAACAAAAGAACCACAGAATCACAGAATCATCAAGGTTGGAAGAGACCTTCAACATCATTGAGTCCACCATTCCCCCAGCAACACCATAATCACCCCTAGCCCATGTCCCCACTGTCTCTGGAACACTCCCAGAGACAGTGAGTCCACCTCTGCCTGTCAGAGCAAACAGGTTCTGTCAGAGTCACAGAAACAGAGAATGAATCAAGGTTTGAGTTGGAAGGGACTTAAGGCTCATCTCATTTCAACACCCTGCCATGGGCAGGGACACCTTCCACCAGCCCAGGTTGCTCCAAGCCCCGTCCAAACTGGCCTTGGACACTTCCAGGGATGGGGCAGCCAAAGCTTCCCTGGGCAACCTGTGCCAGGGCCTCCCCACCCTCACAGCCAAGAATTTCTTCCATACACCTCACCTGAATTTTCCCTCTGTCAGTTTGAAGCCATTCCCCCTTGTCCTGGCACTCCAGTTCCCGAGGCAGAGTCTGTCTCCAGCTGCCTTGCAGGCCCCTTCAGGCACTGGAAGGTCGCTCTGAAGTCTCCACTCAACCTTCTCTTTCAGAGAAGAACAACCCATTTGATCTGTTTTAAACTTTGCCCCCTCCTGTTTCAGTTGGTAACTCCTCGCTCTGGCATTTCCAGAGAGAGGGAACTGTTGATTCTCCTTCACCCTCAGAACTCTGACACTGTGTTTTACAGGTGTCTACCACAGCCTCCTCCTTCCTCACCTGACAGGAGCCTGCTTCAGTTCTGCTCTGTCCTTCTTGGGACAGGGACCAGAGCTGTGCACCTGAATCCCTTCAGTACTGCTGTGGTTTTTTTTCTCTGTTCTGTTCTCTGTATTCATTAATGATTTCTAATTTTGCCTCTTTTTTTTTTGACAGCCACGGATCACTGCGCCAACCTTCACACTCAGTGCTCAGTTCCAACACCAAGATCTCATTCCCAAGACAAGCCAGAACCCATCATTTTCAGTAGAAGGTCGGGATGATCTTTTCTGATACGTTTCACTTTATTTTTAAGCCATGCCTTATTTTATCAGCCATTTTATCACTGACTCACTCGGTCTTCCAAAGTCCTTCTGCAATTCTACAGTCAATCCCTGGAAGTTTCACCTCTGGAAGTGTTCAAAAGACATGTAGATGTTGCCCCTGGGGGCATGGGTTAGTGGTGGGTTTGGCAGTGCTGGGGAATGGGTGGAACTGGTGATCTCAGAGGGCTTTTCCAACCTCAGTGGGATGCACTCACACATGCTAAGGGAGGGTGGCTGATGTGACTGCAAGACCCCTCTCTACTGCACT